AATTTTTTTTTTTTTTAATTTATACATTTACAAAAATTGTCTGAAGAGAAATATGTATTTTAAGTATTTACTAATATTTATAAGAATACTTTAAATAAACAGCTACACAGTTATACAAGAGAATATTAAAATATAAAGTTTTTTAAAATATAGATTTAACTTAATATGGCATAGATCTATTCAGAGGAAAACTCTTCGATATATTGATTTTTCTCTCTTTTCCTTCTTTTATTACATCGAATTTATTTCACGATAAATATAAATGATTAAGCAACTTTTTAAAATAGTTAATAATAAATATAATTTTGATATTGTCTTTTTATTTTGCGTTTATTTCAGGACAGAACTAAATGAGATTTCTACAGACTATCTATATGAAACCAGAGCATTGTCCGACCGAACAAAGAAATTTCAGGATAAATTTTCTAATATAAAATGAACCAATAAAGCACGCTGTCTTTTCCATTTGTGTTAGATCCAAGTTTTCTTTATATCTATATAGAAACATCCTTTTATCCGGCATTTAGTCATAAAAAACATTGCCAGTTTCGAAAACGATTAGTCTGCGGGATACTATTATAAAGATACGTCTGAATTTGACAAGCTTTCTTTAGATATCCGAGTCAGACGTAGTTTACTATTGTTATAAGATAAACTAAGCTAAACAATAAACGATAATTCCTTTAAAGATTTGTATCTCTATCCTTAATAAAGACGCAACGGAGTGAATTTTCTTTAATTAAATGCGAGAGAATAATTCATTATGAAAACTTTACACGAAAACGTTTTGTACTTGAGCAATTAATGAATTATGCAAAAATGGAAAAGATGAAAATAAGCTCGAATGATTCAACAACTGAATTATTTTATTTATATTCTGATTTATAATAGCATAAATACGAAGATTGTATAATTAGAATGTAATTTTACTCTCTTATTTTAAAACCACAAAAGTTAAATTTGATTAAAAGCGTGATTTTTCGATTTTATTTTATGACTTTTCTATTTAAATTTGTAGAATAATACGAAGATTTTGCATAAAATTTTTCGTGTCTTAAGTTCTATAGATGATAAAAATGTAAATTTCGTCCTTTAAAGCTGTTTTCCCGGTAGTCGTAAACAACACGAATATAGATTTTATTTTCAAAGTATTTTATTTGCCTTCAAATTCATACGATTCATAAATTCTATTCAACGAAAGAAATTTTTATAATAATAATAATAAAAGAAAAAAAAGCAAGAAGAAATGTCTTTAAAAAGATGACTGATTTAGTCGAATTATAGTAACCTTTATAAATAATAGCTTTAACGTAATTATTTGATATTTAAAATGAATAAATAAATTTTAAAAGTAAACACTTAAAAAATATAATTTCTATAAAGATATAATGTAATTTTGCGTGCTTATCGATCGTCAGAAGGGATCACGAATCTCTTTCTTCTACAAGGTTATATACATCCAGGTGATGAGTCTATACAACTAACCATATTTCTCCAAGTTTCTTTTACTTCTAATACCTCTTAATCTTAAATGAAGACCGACTTATACATACAAAAATTTTTGAATTGAAGCCAGTAGCTAATATTTACTAATAGTAAAAGTGTACACCATTAGTGAAAATAAGAAAATGTAGAAGCGCATGTAGCTGTATATTCTATAAATATACTAAGTCCAACTTTAGAGTTAGAAGTTCGTTGTTTACACTCATACATTTAAACACTTATTTAATTCCACTATATTTAGTAAATTCAAACTTTATTTTACCTAATTCTCTTTTTATAAAAAAAATGGAAAAGAAAGAAAGAAGAGGAGGTCTTTTGATCTCTTTTCTTACTTACTATTGGCTAAAAAGATGGTTAGAATAGTTACATAAGTCACTATAGAAAGCGAGGACCTCTTATTATTCACTACATATTCTTTTATTGATTATTTACGATTATTCTGTTTTGAAGGGTGTCTAGGTTATTCGTTATCGAGCATCACTAGGGTGAGTTTTCCCAATTTTAATTCTTTCAAATTTATTTTTTACATATATTACATATATAAATTTTTTCAGGAATTTATCAGTTAGTTACGTTTTCCGACGTAGGTTATGTTATTAGATTCCAAGAAACTCTCATTACAACGTAATGAATTATTGGGACATATCTAATATCATACAAGTTATTCAGTTTCCATATAGGAATTGTGATAGCCCACTCGAGAATAGTTATATTAAGAATCATATTGGAAATATGATTAAATATCCAAAATATGAGATTGGAATAGAGAGAGAAACTTGAAGAGAACAGTAATAATAATATAGCAATAAATATCGTATGAATGATATATAAATTGCTTGTTATACAATGATTATTATTTAAATTATCGTATTAAAAGTCGATTTATCATTAAAAACGAACAAGTCGAATTACTTTTGATTCGAATTTTTAATATTTTTGTATTATTTAATATTAATTTATATGTTTTTAATTGATATATTATTAAATATCAAAGATTTTAAAACATAAAATATAAAATATAAAGCGCAAAATGTCTTCACTTTGATCGCTGCCATAAGAGAGTCACAAATCGAAATCATTTTGGAATTAATTAAAATCGAAATCAAAAATGATATTATTCGAATATTATTATTATTATTTAATTATAACTATAAAAATCGAAAAACTAAACTTAATTAAGATAGCATTTAATCAAAAGTCTTTAATTATTAATTTTAAATACTGTACTAATTCTCAATTCGATTATTATAATATTAAAATAAGAATTGAAATAAAGACGAGAGTAATTATGTTTATTTATATAATGATAAAAAGTAATAAAGACGTTAATTGAAATCGAAATGTAATCAAGCATGAGTTTAAGAGCAATAACGTGCGTCTCACCTGTCAGCGTGTCTTCTGAATATGAGCTTTCAGTAGTGGGATGTTCCCATGTGCTCCATGCGCCTCCTCTGCTTAGACTGGACTCAGACTTCCGTTGCTTGCTTTATTAACGACCCTTTTCATATCATTTGCTACTTATTACTGTATACACTAAGTGAAAGAGATTTTATTTCCTTTCATCTCATTCCTAATTAATTAACTAATATGTATTTCCATTCCACACTGTAACTGATTATTGATTTTTATTACTTTATTTTAAAATTATGAATTTTTTTATGAAGTTTTTTTTTTTCGCTGTTTTGGCTGCGTTTTACATGACTGACAACCTTGGATATAAGGTATATGTAAATACTTTTCCTATTCAAATAAACTTAATACTTTTCTCTTACTTCAAAATTCTTTTGTAAGTTTTTTTTTTTTTTAATTTATACATTTACAAAAATTGTCTGAAGAGAAATATGTATTTTAAGTATTTACTAATATTTATAAGAATACTTTAAATAAACAGCTGCACTGAAGAAAAAGAACAGCAATTGATCTGGATTGTATATCCACGCATCCTTGATCTTGGCCTTGGCCCGAACATCTTAAGGAATGCATTATTATGACCTTAATGGATTAAATTTCACTGTGCATTTAATTTTTCCCGCCTCCTTCGAATGTTTTGTATACAGTTAGAACTTTACACCTAACTACCTTTAAACTAATAAAGAATGAACCTTGAATTTAGAACTTGTTTCAAAGTGCTACGTTAGAAAACTTAAATTTGCCTTTTTAAGAGTTTAAGATATAAATCAATCGACATTACCAACAGATAATTATTTAATTGACTTTTTTTCCTTTCGGAAAGAATCTTTTAATGAGAATATTATTTGTATTTGATAATACTACGTACGATGTATTTTTGTAATGAGAAACTAAGAGCCTATGCATATAATATTTGACACTTAAGCGCATTGATGGATCATAATGAATTTTCTGGAAGAGTTCCAAACAAAAGAAAATAAAAAAAAAATGGATACTCCGCCCGTTCCCATTTCTCTCGACATATTTTCACTTTTATTTTGTTGCTTAATAAAGCTTAAATTATATTCTTTACCAAATGCTTTTCGTAATAAAAACTTTTACTTCTTTACAGAAGATCTTTACATAAAGTCTACGTTTTATTTTTTTTTAATATATTATTATAGTATTGATTATACACACTTAACATTTAAACTAAAATTACATTTTAATATCACTACAATATTATTTTATAACAGATATTAATTATAATTAAATTCACATTTCTTAATTTTTAATGCTTTCTGTTGATTATTTCAATATACAACACATATTTTCATATAAGAGAAAAACTAAATTTTTAAAGTCATTTTGAGTTTGAAGTATGTTTTTAGTTAATTCAAATACTTAAATACTCATTTAAATGTAGTTATAGAATAGAAAATTTTATATTTAATTTTTTGGTAGGTAAGAATTGTTCTTAGTATCCGTTTCGTCCAAATTAATCTTTCTTTGAAGGAAGTCTAGCAACGGATCTACTTGGGGTTTTTTTTTTCCTTTTTCTTTGACGAGTGACGCCACTTAAATATGTTTAGAATACTATTTCTGATGCTGTTGCAACTTCTAGGAATGGGCTGAACAGTTATAATTAATGGATCTCACTTATTTCCCGAAAACTTACCGATTTTGGAAGAATTAACAGTTCATTTATAAAATTACTTATTTAAGTTATTGTTCTTTTATACACTCGATAAGACTATGTGTATATAAATATACGATAATGTTCTTATGCCTTATAAAAGTATAACGGTTTCCTGATTTAATTCAGATTTAATTTTAGATACGGTTCTTGTTAATTTGAATATAAGACTATTATAACTTTGTTTAATCGTGTATATAAATAAAACAAAGTTATAACGAAAATTTGTTTTGAATGAAATCATGAAACTATTATTTATAGAAATATTGATTGAAGAGTAGTTCTAAAATAAATTAAATTATGCATCAACATTCCTTTTTTTTTTTCTTTTTTATAAACGGGTCGCGTTTGAAAGAACTTTTTTTTATTGTCTTTCATTGTATGTCTGTGATTGTTGCAACTGGTTTGAAGAATTCCCTAGATAGAGAGCAGCTTATATGTCTCTAGATAGAAATAAAGTGCAAATAAATATTCCTTTCAAACTTACTTAGCTTCAATAATTGTGTTTTTATTTGGCAAATATTTTAAATGTTACTAAGAAAATGTTTATATATATATACAATATATGTGTAGTTCATGCGTATTATGTTATGCAGAAGAGTAGGTTACATAGAACATCTTGTTAAATTTTCTTACATTATATAATTATAGGAACATAGGTTGTCTTTACAGCTCANTTAAGTATTTACTAATATTTATAAGAATACTTTAAATAAACAGCTGCACTGAAGAAAAAGAACAGCAATTGATCTGGATTGTATATCCACGCATCCTTGATCTTGGCCTTGGCCCGAACATCTTAAGGAATGCATTATTATGACCTTAATGGATTAAATTTCACTGTGCATTTAATTTTTCCCGCCTCCTTCGAATGTTTTGTATACAGTTAGAACTTTACACCTAACTACCTTTAAACTAATAAAGAATGAACCTTGAATTTAGAACTTGTTTCAAAGTGCTACGTTAGAAAACTTAAATTTGCCTTTTTAAGAGTTTAAGATATAAATCAATCGACATTACCAACAGATAATTATTTAATTGACTTTTTTTCCTTTCGGAAAGAATCTTTTAATGAGAATATTATTTGTATTTGATAATACTACGTACGATGTATTTTTGTAATGAGAAACTAAGAGCCTATGCATATAATATTTGACACTTAAGCGCATTGATGGATCATAATGAATTTTCTGGAAGAGTTCCAAACAAAAGAAAATAAAAAAAAAATGGATACTCCGCCCGTTCCCATTTCTCTCGACATATTTTCACTTTTATTTTGTTGCTTAATAAAGCTTAAATTATATTCTTTACCAAATGCTTTTCGTAATAAAAACTTTTACTTCTTTACAGAAGATCTTTACATAAAGTCTACGTTTTATTTTTTTTTAATATATTATTATAGTATTGATTATACACACTTAACATTTAAACTAAAATTACATTTTAATATCACTACAATATTATTTTATAACAGATATTAATTATAATTAAATTCACATTTCTTAATTTTTAATGCTTTCTGTTGATTATTTCAATATACAACACATATTTTCATATAAGAGAAAAACTAAATTTTTAAAGTCATTTTGAGTTTGAAGTATGTTTTTAGTTAATTCAAATACTTAAATACTCATTTAAATGTAGTTATAGAATAGAAAATTTTATATTTAATTTTTTGGTAGGTAAGAATTGTTCTTAGTATCCGTTTCGTCCAAATTAATCTTTCTTTGAAGGAAGTCTAGCAACGGATCTACTTGGGTTTTTTTTTCCTTTTTCTTTGACGAGTGACGCCACTTAAATATGTTTAGAATACTATTTCTGATGCTGTTGCAACTTCTAGGAATGGGCTGAACAGTTATAATTAATGGATCTCACTTATTTCCCGAAAACTTACCGATTTTGGAAGAATTAACAGTTCATTTATAAAATTACTTATTTAAGTTATTGTTCTTTTATACACTCGATAAGACTATGTGTATATAAATATACGATAATGTTCTTATGCCTTATAAAAGTATAACGGTTTCCTGATTTAATTCAGATTTAATTTTAGATACGGTTCTTGTTAATTTGAATATAAGACTATTATAACTTTGTTTAATCGTGTATATAAATAAAACAAAGTTATAACGAAAATTTGTTTTGAATGAAATCATGAAACTATTATTTATAGAAATATTGATTGAAGAGTAGTTCTAAAATAAATTAAATTATGCATCAACATTCCTTTTTTTTTTTCTTTTTTATAAACGGGTCGCGTTTGAAAGAACTTTTTTTTATTGTCTTTCATTGTATGTCTGTGATTGTTGCAACTGGTTTGAAGAATTCCCTAGATAGAGAGCAGCTTATATGTCTCTAGATAGAAATAAAGTGCAAATAAATATTCCTTTCAAACTTACTTAGCTTCAATAATTGTGTTTTTATTTGGCAAATATTTTAAATGTTACTAAGAAAATGTTTATATATATATACATGAGAATCACTTACAATTTACTCATAATAATTAATATAAATAATTATTTATCTTTATTTATTATTCAAAATCAGATTAAAACTGCTAATTAATTTAACGTCGAGTATATTTTTTAATTGATAAATTATATATTTCATATCTTTTCCTATCAGAAATACGATAATGTTTTATATCAGACGAGACCGAAACATTAAATATTTACTATGAATTTCGATTTTTAAATAAAAATAATAATCATTAAAACTATGATTTAGAGTGTTTAGAGAGATTTTAAAAGACTATTAAGGGATTCGTAATCAGAAATGGGATTAAATTTAATTGTAATTAAAGTTTTTCTTACGTTAAATAGTTTGAAATTTACTTCTTAGCATTACGTACCTGCATATAGTTCATCATCGAAGAGATGTCAGCAGATGTTATCCTGCATTGATTTCTAAAACAATCAACACTCCTACAGAAATCTGCACGGGATTGATCAAAAGTATTCATAACTTTTCCTAAATTATTGTTTAACCAGAAAGTATTTATAGGATTCGATTTTCTTTAGTTCTTTTAATGGTTACAGACATAAATAAATAATTGTTTCGCTTTTTTTTTTCGTTTCTTCACGTTGTATGGTATTCCTACGAAGGAAATGGGTTAAACTTACATCATTTTTTATGAAATTATGAAGAAGAAAAGCATCTTTGCGACGGAAAGCGCGAAATGAAACTACGCATTTTCAAAATGGCGGATGTCAATCATATTGAACAGATTATATAATAAGTTAAATATAAATAATGTGTTGTGTGATTTATATTTTATAGTAGATGCAGTAAGTTCGAAATAACCAAAACTTTCAATGAATTAAATTAGTAAGTAGTTCATTTAAATTACAATTCTAACTCTTGTTTAGTTTAGATAATGGCTGAAAACTTCAAAAAAATCTCTAATATTTTACTTTGCTAATTATAAAATCGATTTGTATTTCGATTCTTTAATTAATGATTAAAACGTTTTCTTTATTTGGAAATTTATAATTGATTCTTATTATTTTTTTAAAAATATATAATTAATTTTTACGTTAGAATTTCTTAATTTTTATATTAAACAGTGAAATATAGAATGATCTAGCTAACTTGGAAGATGCGTTCACCGAATAAAGGTGTATTTTAAGAGATATTTGTCCTATTTAATATGTTTACTTTATTGATTGCAATTGATCAGTGTTTGTTAGATGCCATATCGATTATTGGTATTTTAAAATCACGTACAGTACAATTCTATAGTAAATTATGGAAGAATATTCTACAGTTTATAATATCTCGATGAAAAATATTTATCATCGTTTAGTTAACTTTAATATTATTTTTAAACATTTTTCTTACTTTAATTACTAATTTCATGTTAAAGTTTTATTTATGACATTTAAAAATTAATTACATAATTAGTAATTATTTATATACAAACGAAAACAATTAATTCCAATAAATATGAAAAATTTACAGCAAAATTTATCAATAAAAATATTATAAATTGAAAAATAAAATATTAGTAAAATAATTACTAAATTACAACGTGTTAAAACTAAAATCGAACGTTATAACTAACGTTTCGTGCATTTATATTGAGTTTTTAATCAAAGAATTAATTAATTAAATAATATATTATTATTTATTGAATGTATGAAATAAATCATAAAATTTGGTTCTTTTTATTATGAAGATATACGTCAACTTAACCTACTTAAATTATTTTAAAAATTACTTGCATAACAAATTTAAAGATAAAAGAAAAGATAATTAATATATTAAACAATTTAAATGTGAATAACATATTATATTACTTAAAAAAAAATGAGTTTAATTAATTTCAAGAATTTCTAGATTAATTAACTAATCTGGAAGAATTTCTATTTTTAATAGAATAGTTTAAAAATATAAGAATTTTTATTATAATTTAGTATAATTTACTTTACTATAAATAAAATTTTAAATAAAATATTTTTCAGAATGTCTAAAAATAGTGAATTGGCAGCTAATTCGTTATCGGAGGTAAAAGAGTCCACAAAACCAGAAAGAAAGTGTGAAAAGATGATAACCAAATGGAAAGAAGAAATAAGAGATTGGTCCACTTCCTCCTTAAATATAAGTCAACTTAAACAAGATAATTATCCAAATTGGAAGGATTTGCCTTCAATTGTTTTGCTCTTAGTAAGTATTAATTAAATTATAATCTAAATTAATTTACAGAAAAAAAATAATAAATTAATATATTGTATATGTATATTAAGAAACTGTATTCTTTTTAATCGATAGAATGAAAATTCGTATAATTTAAAAATTTGTAGATGTGTCTTTCATGTAATGTTAAATAAAAAGAAATAGAAGAAGAAGATATATAAAATTTATCTGGTAATATTTTTAACTTGTCATTTTTTCTATATAAAATATTTCAATCAAGAATAAATATAAAAGCGTAGACATATTCTACATCAAAAAATAACTTTAGAAAAATAAAACATAGACTATATCCAATTACGTTTCTAATAAAACCTTTTTCTTTTCACATTCATTATACATTTTTTTTGTTTCCGTTTTCGTATATTTATAAGAAATACACTATGATTAAAGCATTTTATTATTGTTATTATTATTATTATTATTGAAATTGTTATAAAGGAAACAATAAACACAAGCCTATTCATTCAAATGAAATCGAACACAGAGGCGTAAAGATAGTAGACTACAAAAAAATTTTAACATATACACTCAGATATAGTATATATATAATAAAATTTAGTATATTCCTTAGATTATACAGAATTAATATTAGTTGTATGATTTAGTGACGTTATTAATATTTTAACGTATATTTTAAAGTAAAACAAACCAATTCAACGAGTTGCTCGACTTTCTCGGCAACANAACAAGTTGCTTAACTTTCCTGGCAACATTTGATGGCGCCATCTGTTATTATATTTTATTAAAAAACACTTTTTATATTTTTAACTATTATAAAATGGCAAAAAGATTAATTTTGAAGGTAGTGATGGGTTTTATAAAAAATTGTAAATGCTAATAACGAGTAAAATCGTCATTAAGTCCGACCCTACTGGAGATACACACGATCCCCATTATCTCCCCACCCCCTCGACCTTTAACCACCAAAATTTAATAGCATCAATCTCTGTAATAAACAAAAACCTCCCTACAAAATTTCAAAAATTCTCGACAAAAAGCACTGGCGTTATTAAGCTTCAAACAGGGTGAACAAACTCGTATCAAACACATACACTAATATCCATACATACAGAAATAACAGCTGGGAAAGTAAAAATATTATACTAGTTGAAGATATGAACATATGTAACACGTAAGCATACAGTAAATATAATACATTATACTAATTATCATTGTGTTAAGTTCCATCAAGTCGTCGTCGACTCCTGGTGACTGCATGGACAAGTCTTTTCTTGTCCATGTAGTTTTCTTGGCAAGAGTTGAGGAAGTAGTTTGCCATTGCCTTCTTCCTTTAATTATCATTAAGATGGTGTAAAATGCAGCATTTCGCTTTGAATTACAAAAATTAAAATACTTCGTTTAGACGACTCACAGTCAGAATAAAATATTAAAATTAAATGAGAATAATTAAACTTCAATAAGTAAATTATTAGAGAAATATATGTAAATTATTAAAATATGTTTAAATAAAACTAAAAAGTAAATTTTATAAAGAAATTTTGAACCCAAAATGTTTCATCTGTTATCAGACAATACACATATATTTGTTTCTTGTAAACGAAGACGTGTTGAATCTTGAACGTGTACGCAAAGCATGTCGGTTGCGCAATATCAATACAATGGTACAGTACCTCGTAATTCGAACGACGCTTCTGAGTTCGAACGCTAAATACGACAAAAATTCGGTTAGGAGTTCGAAAGGCCTCCTGGAATGAATTAAATTCGAAGTACGAGGCACTACTGTGTTATAATCATTCGATTATCAACTATTTTTAGTCAATATATAAAAGAATGTTCCTAATATATATTTTTGTAGATGTTTTCTTACTGCTTTTTTAAATGTTATCAAATGAATTTTTGTAATATTTTAAAAAGTAGCAGACTTTCTTAATGTTTATTTTTTAAATTTTTCCCCAGGCTATTATTATGGGGACCCCAGAATAATATTAAGCACAAAATGGACCAACGATCAAAATAGGTTGAGAAACACCGGTGCAGAATATATGTTTAGAATTTAAAAATTAATTGTTTAATTTAAGAAACTGAATTTTCAAAATTACTACTAAAAAAATTCTGTTTCAATAAAATTAGAATTAAAAATAACATTAAAATATTGCACGAAATTTATAACAAGAATGAACAATTATTTATTGTGACATCATCACAATGCCAGGCTGTAATTTTTAATCATATTTTTAATTTAAAATATATGCTCTCCATCTCAAATTAGTAGCGTTTGCCCCCTGTACATCATATTTTTCCTTTAACAATAGAGTCGTGCCGGTTATCTAGCCTTTTAAATACCTTTCATAATACCTTTCAGGGGAAGTTTTGAATTGAAATAACATGACTTCCAATTTGTATCGAAAGTTTGTATATAGTTAATCGGGACCTTCTATTCCTAGGCTTTCCGTATCTGGTCTCGACGTTCATCTACCTAACTCCGTTCTCGAGATTAACTAGTACAGTATATTAACTGAATTATTTATTATATTGTGTATTATATGACTAGAAAACAATTTTGTTTAATTGATAAAATAAGAAAATCAATTATTATATAATATGTAATATATGTACTAAATTATATACACTTAAATTGATAAAGAAAAATAAATTATCAACATATCTGACAAATATTATAAATAAATTATATAGGGTGTAATTTATTTATAACATTTGTCACATATATGTTAATGATTTAGTGTATTAATCAATTTTAAGTGTTTACTTAGAAATATTGTAAAATATAATATCAGAAAAGAAGATTAAACTTTAGATTTATTTTATAATAAAATATATTATATTTTTATTTTTTTCATATAAAATGTTCATGTTGCAGAGAGTGGTGTTAAATTCATTTATTGTTGACCGGGAAGAAATATGAAACTTAGTTATTTCGGTATAAATCCGACAGTCAATACAAGCAATAGAATTATTCTCCAAGTTTGGTTTCATTAAATTAATTAAATATTAAAATTCTCTGGATTTAACGCTGAAGATTATGCTTAAAGTGNAAAAGTTTTGTAATGATAATTATAAATAATAAAACTAAGATAATATTTTATAAACTACGTTACGTAGTTAGTTTATATAACATAAATATGCCTATCTTTATGTAATCGTTTCAGATCATCCCTTCAACCAACATCACCGGCTTTAATTCAGTACATTCTTAATCAACATGCCAAGCATCTCCGTTTTGTAACATTCAAAGTAGACAGTAGCCAAGAATCTGCAGAAATGGCGTGCCGTATTTTGGCACAGTTAGTTGATTGTTCTCTTAAGACATTAGGTCTTATATCTTCAGCCAAACCATCATTTATGAAACTTGATCCCGACCGATTCGTGTCTGCATTAACTCTTGTAATTGATAAATGTCATTCGCTTTCTTCACTCGCCATTGAAGAAACACCGGTTGATGATCCATCATTACAACTTTTGGCTACTAATAGTTGCAATTCTTTGGAACTTTTGTGGATGAAAAGTTGTCCCAATGTATCTGCTAAAGGTAGCTTTTCTTTTAGCTTCATATAGTTTTTTAATTAATGAATGCTAAACAAAAATTTTGAAAATAATTAACTATAAATTTTAAATAAAACTTTGTTTTAGGTATTCAGGCGGTTGCTGATCATTGTCACCAATTATGTGAATTAACTCTTAATTATTCTTTGTTGAGCGACGATTTATTATTAGCTCTGTCTTCTGAAGAGCATGCACGTCTTAAATTTATGAGAGTTGATGTATCTTCAGATGATTTACAGGTATGTTGATAATATAATTATAATAAATATAAAAGTTTTATCTTAAATTTCAAATTAGAAATGACAGATGGTATTGTGAAGAAGTTTCATGCTAACAAACAATAGTTGTGTCAGATATAAAGTAAAGATTATTCTCCGAGTCATGTTCCTCTTGTTCTTATTTGCGATAAGAGCATTAATGATAAAAGTTATTATACTTTGTATTGTTGTTTGTCAAATCAAAACTTGCATAATTTGAGTTGGTTCTTATCACATAACATGTTAATTGGAACTTGTTTTATAACTAATATTGACATAGCAATTCAGGTTTTTTATAATTGATTGTTGACAACGATTAAAAATTTTATATCAGTAATAAAAAGAGAAGTTATTTTGAAACTTGTCAGACAAAATAGGTTAAAACTTTTGTACTTTATAATAGTACGAAAGCCTTATGTAATAAAAAACAAGAATTTTATATCCTAAAATTAAACAAAACATCTATTTAAGAATATTGTGATTAGGACGAAAATGAAAATTAATCAGTCTACAGAGTACCTTATAACTCCTAATAATAACTCCTAAAAATAGCAATATTTGCCGGATATAATCATTTACTTTTATAACCATTTAAAAGGTATATCTTCTGCCGAAAAATGAGCCAACAGAATAGGTCGAATGTCACTTCACTCTTTCAACCTATGAATCAAAGCGTAATTCAAAATTTAAAAGTCAGTAGAAACAAATGGTTAATCCCAAATGTAACTTGTGGAACATCACTCAAAGTGCTGACCAAGCAATTCAATGTCTTTCAAACCATTTTATGGATTTCAAGTATTTGGAGACAGGTTCTGCAATCAACAATTTAAGAATTGCTTTATCAAAGCTGTATGTTTTTTGGCAATGAGAACAATTACAACTTTGCAATTACAATTACGTCTGGGGCCGCCGCAAGCGGGCTTGCACAGTACGCGACCTCCATTGTCAAAGAAGCGCTAAAAAGCATTCCAAATTAAGTACTTATTCGATTTGAATTGTGTAATGATATAAAATGAAACAAAACATTACGTTGAAAAAATAAACTGTGAGCTTCAACGGTCCAAGTGTTAATACGTTAAAGAAAACATTAACATTATTTAATTATATAATCGCATTGTTAATTATAACCTTATTCCAACAATCTACTAAGTTTAGAATTCCTTTTCTGAAGAAAACTTTTTTCTTTGGATA